TGGGCAAAGACAAGCCAAAATAGCTGGCTCATAAAGAACAGAGCTGAAGGTCAAGTCATCCTGGTTCAATTTAAGAAGGTAGTCCAAGATGATAAAGTAGTTGTGGAACAGTTAAATCACACAAAGGCACAGAACTTACACGACAGACCAGAAGCGTGGGGGATTGAAATCTGGCAACAAAAGTCCATGTCATCTATAATCCATATCAGTAAGTCCTCCTGTTAATTATTATGTTTCTAAAGTGAAAAGGACTACTTTTATCTAAAGAACGTGGAAAAAAATTGGATTTTCCAGCAAAAGATAGGTAACATAGACCAGTACACAGCACTATCTTTTTGTCCAAGGACAGACTATGTGGGCACAGCACTAGACTCAGCAACTCCAAAGTAAAAAACACAGAAGATCTGGAGACAGAAAAAGCCACCCAGAAGACAGATTAATATTTATGCAAGTTGTCTGATTTTGTGATGCAGCCAAGAAAGTGAGTTTGTTTATATACATTGAGAAGTTCTTATGACTAACATGCACTCTACAAAGATTCCAAATAGCTTCATGCCTCTCCCATGAATAAATATGCTTGGAAGCATCTTTATTTTTCATTCTGAGATGCATTTTCTTTTCCAATACAGTTTATAAGAATCTTGGAGCACAGTCCAAGGTGATGCTCTGTTTCTCAGTGGCAATATTTTTTTTCCAAGCATTGTCTGCAGTCCAGTCTCACTTCCCTGATCCTTAGAGTTCCAGGTGAACCTATTCCTGGCAATGTAGATTTCAGTGAAGCAATGGAATACTGAATCTTCAATATCTATCTATAGAGGACATTAAATCCAGTACTTATCTCCCTCCCAACACAGATGTTCCCAAGAAAGTTGTTGGAAAAAAATGGCCAGACACACACCATTTTTTCTTATCTTAAACATGATGCAAACAGACACAGAACACATACACACCACACAGCTACTGCTAACCAAAAATCTCTACATATGCAAGGATGGACCCATCGTGGAATATGATTATGACTAAGCATCAAAAGGAGAAGTCAGGAAATTAAGAAACAGGCAGCAAAGCTAGGTGTGAAATACTGAAATCTTGAGCTATTCTGAAGTTTTAAAAGTACAGTCAGTGTCATGGTAACTTCCACACTGCATATCAATTAATGGGTAGCTTTGAGTACAAGCTTGTAGCCATATTTAAACAGCAAGCCTAATTTTCAAATATATTTGACAATTCTTTAAGAGTTTTCTTTGCTACAAAATACCTCAACTTAGAACGGTGAACTTTATCAATACATATTCCTACTGCGTTACTGGAACTTACTTGGTAGTGACCTTACCACTGCTTAGAGACTAGGCAGCAACAGTGTTTCTTTTTAAGCAGTATTTCTTTTCAAACTACTAAATAAAGCACAAAAAGCAACAACATATCTTTTAAGCTGACATGTGACTTTGTATCAAACTTTAATAGACTTGACCAAACAAGCCCATAAGAATTAAGGATGCACGATTCTGATTAAGTAAATATTTTCTAAGGGTAAAAGAACAACACTTAACCCTTAACATCAGACTGATTAGTGAAAAACAGAAGTTCTCTATTTATTATCAAAACAAGCACAGGACAACTGACACAGAGAACAGGTACACTTTCTTTCAAATATACTTAATAATTTCCTTGTAAGATAGCCCTTACTAAAAACACTTGGAAAGTGTCTTCAACTAATCTGACAGATTGCTGTTGTGAACTTGCTATTTAAACCTGAATGGACCAAAGTAGGATTTTATTTGTCTGTCTTAGAGAGTCATCAAAAAAAAACCCACTCTCAATCACTGCAGTTTAGACTGATTTTAATATTGAGAGGAATAATAACTATTTGATTTAGTAATCTTCTGACTTATCTGTTTGTTCTTCAACAACCTGAATTAATGCTGAAAGTATATAATAAAATTAAGTCAAAACTTATTTATAGTGTTTATCTCAACCCGATTTCCAAGTGGCATGTAAGGGAACACCTATTAATGGAATTTGACACCAATTAAACTGGGATAAGAAAAGCTTTCCCTTTTGGTTCTCCCTTGCAAGAGCCAAAAGGAATATGATGCCTATTTCACATGCAGCTGGTATCTACCAGTCAGGGACTGGTAATTCTTGCCAGTTCCTTGACATGAATCCTATCTAGTTTACCATAAAATCAATGTGTTTTAGTTAGATCCCACTTCATAAGCAGGTTATTTCTCCAGTTTTTACTTGATGTAGCAAATACAGTGCAGACAGTTAAAATTGCAAATACTTGGCCAATTCTATTATTCCAAAGCCCCAAATGAGTTTTCACTTCTTTTGTACTACAAGTTTTGCAATGTGCGTTCTCCTTTCCAATACGCTTCAGGAGATGCAAGGGACACAGACAGAAACCAGGGCTGGCCCTGAAGCACATGGAGACCTTTCCTGCACCCTCAGACGCTCCTCAGCTGTGCCAGGCTGGCATGCAGCAGCTGAAGTGCAGTAACTTGAGCACACCGAACCTGTGACCTCCAGCCACCATGGGCCTGAGGGGTTACACAGAAGGACTCCAATCCTTAGGGCCTGTGGCACCTGCACTCCATCACATGGTTAAGAGCAGCCATTCTGGCTGAAACTATCCTTCCAGGTGGGAAAAATGGGGCTTGGTTAAGTAGAGAGGCCAGTTCTGAGGGCTAAGAGGAGACCTGTAGGCAGCAGGTTCATTTGTAAGTGTTTATTTCTTAGGGTGCTTGCAAACAGCATTCGAGCAGTCTGGCTGCTGTCAGCCAACCCTAACAGTGGGTAAAAAATTCAAGAATTTTAGCACAACAAAAGCTGTCACTTGCCTAAGGATCATATCCCTTTTCCAGTATTGTTTACTGCATATATAAAACTGTAGCAATGAGACAATAGTAACTTTCATTTTCAGAAGACCAGGTGAGCAATTTGTGTTTCGTAGATGTACCAGCAAAAAACCTAATTTTTTTCTTATAGCTTTTGATTTATTTGTCAGTACATACTTCTGCGTACTTCTGGAAGTACATAAAATGTGGGGCTTTTTATCAAAAGTAGACAAAACTAGGATAAAAAATGTCCAGAGCTATCTACTTGAGTTGAAGTGTCTGTTGAAGGGCATAATCTGTGCTGTTCCTTCATGAACACCAATTTATTCACTTTCTCAAATACAGATCCACGTGGACTTTTCTAAGGTTTTAAATAGTCCCCCCAGCATACATTATTGCCCACCAGCAACAAACACCCCTTCACTTAATTCACTTTTCCATAAAAATAAACACCTCTTTCCATTAAAAGTATTATCATCACTCAAGAGGAGTGAGAGCACCCTATAAAAAGGAAATATTTATAATATAATATTAAAAAAGATAGAGGGCTTTGTCCTCTATAAGTCCATCAGGACCTTTGGTCCAGCCTATAAACCAGAAGGGTTTGTACAAGCAGCTTGGGAAAAACTTACAAGCTTTTTGTTCAATAAATGCATTTTAGAAGTATTTGACTGCTCGTATAAGCCTTATTCTTCAGTTGTTTGCATGTGTTAACAATCATTCAGGATTTGGCCAATAGCTTTCTCTACAACACCAACTCTTCTGAAGGCTTACCACTACGAAGCTTATGAGGAAATAGCATAAGATGTCACAACAGCTTAGTCATTAAGATGGTACAGTCCTTTAAAATAGTCTAATTCAAAGCATTATAGAGTAAGATTCACTAAGTAACAAGAACTAGCCATTAATAAAATTCAGTCTACAGCTGCTCAAAAACAAACTAGCCCCCAGCATAGGGTAATTTTGAAAATAAGTATCTTATGCAGAGTTAGTAATCTAACCAATGTATTAGCAGAAAGCTGTGACACCACCTGTTATATTGCATAAAAACCCCCGGGCTTTTAAGTAATTGAAGACTTTTTAACAGAATTAAAGGTATTTATTATCATTAATCTTACTGTTCTATCATCGTTGAATAACAAATATTAAAACAATCCTTCTGTTTTCACAGTGAACACTACTTCTAGCAGTCCAATCAAATACTCCTGAATGTAAGGATATGTAATGGTCTAAACAAAGCATCTCATTGCAGATTATGGGCTTTATTTCCTCCCTACACCTGTCCCTTTTAAGCCTTCTGGTTTACACCACTTCAGTTTAGACAGCACCACCAGCAAGCCATTAAAAAATAATTCACCATTTCAGCAGTGCAATGAGTGCCTGTCAGACACAATGTATCTCCCAGTTGCACCTAAATTTCTTAGTTTAAGAGTGTACTACAGAAAAAAAAAAAAAAAAAAAAAAAAGAAATCTGCTAGGGAAACAACTCTAGCACACGCACAAGAAACCAGGGCTGACTGACAGCTTTCCCATCATCAGAAGCCAAAGCTCTGCCAGTTACTGTAGACAGCAGTAAAACACAACTCAGCTGGCAGCTAGTAGGACCAGGTAAGAGGATCAATTATGTTACTGCTCTAGTAGTAAACTACAAAAGTAAAGCTTGAGAGACAGAAAAATGCAAGTATTTGGCTTTTAATAAAGGTGAAAAATTGTGAATAAAATGCATCCTAGAAATCGATACTTTAGCATACCTCAATATAAAGGAACAAAAACCACAATTTTTACCCATTTTCTGGTTTTTACTCCTTTCATGCTTCTTCTAAAACACACAAGTATCACTGGCAATGTAAGCAACTGAGTACCAAAATGAAGAATTCTCTTTGGAACAGAATAGAATATTTTTCAAATGTCTCTTTTCATAGTTAAAGTATTTTATATTTTAGATTGAGAACAAAGAACAAAAATTTTAACTGGTTTAACTAATAGTCCTGATTAAAGCCCTCTTTCAACCAGACAACATGCAAGTTAATTTTTTGTTTCTTCCAAACACAACTTGCAGTTTCAATCTTGCTTCCTACCTCCAATTGCTTTCTTAGTCCATAACACAAAGGCAAATAGCGAAAGCTTCAAACACGTCATATGTTGGAAGAAATGTGCACTTACCAAGTGAACATAAGGCACAAAATATCCAAAAAGGGCAGCTGGGATCCCAAAAGCCCAGATTCGGTAACTGAGAACTTTGAAAACGGAGAAATTGCAAATCTTTTTTCCAGGAGGAAATTTGAACTTCCCCTTCTTTCCTCCCTCCTTGTCTTTGGTGTCAGGAATGAGGGGTTTGTAAGTGAATCCAGCCAGGAACAGAATAAACATAAGGATGCACAGGACCCTCAAGGTGTTGAACAGATTGACAGAATCGAGCAAAACTCTCAAGAGGAAGGGCAGTGACACTGTGAACAAGCTGCTGCCTGCAGTGACGATGCCATTCACTAGTCCCAGGCGTTTCTTGAAATAGTGCCCAAGGATGACCAAGGATGGCTGGTACGCAAAGGAGCAGCCACAGGCAAACAAGATTCCGTAGGTGAAATATAGAGGTTCAATGGTGCTGTACGAAAAGAAACAAAAAGGAAAAAATAACAAATCGTTAGTGTTTTGTAAGACAGTGGATGCTCGTGTTCATCTACCATACACATGACAGCTTTTCAATCAACAAACATAATTAGAGAAGGGAGTTGAGTTTGTATTTACTTAGAGTCGAAATGCTATGTGTCAGCTTAATTCAACAATTATCCTATTTCCTTCCACTGAAAATTTCACAGAATCCACTGAACAAGTAAAAAAGAAAAATTATATTCAATTATAATTACAACAAATACTGTGGTTAAAAAGTTTTAAAAATCATTGTTGGAGCAAATTAGCCAAACAAATTCAACCACAGCTGGGTTTTTGTTTGCCAAAGAAAGGCGTGCTGTTTTGATTTACACATTTCTTCACTGTGCTAGCAGTTCAAACTTAATACTGAACACTCCTCATGAACATAGAAAAGTCAAATATTTAAACAGTTTCTTATTGAAATACAGTAACAAAAGTAATAAACATTATTAATGAAAAATAAAACATTTGAATACTGACAAGTTTTGGTAAAATAATATGTTATTAGCAAATTATACATTTTTAGGTATTAAATTCTTAGACAAATAATTCCCTTTTGATTAATTATTTTATATTCAGTGTTTTGATCCATATATTGAATATGCTAAGAAAGAAATTGAAAAAAATGTTAATAAAGAATTAAATAGTTCAACTCATGGTAAGGTGGATCTTCATCGTAAGGTTCTCCACCATTACCATCTACTATACAACTGAAATGAAGCAGAGCTGTTGTAAGTGATCACAGGCAAATGTGTGCCATCAAAAGGTACTTGTGCAAGAAATACTAAAGGTGTGAAGCAACAGTATCAGTAAAATTAATTAAATTAGTGTTGTAGTATTAATACAGTAAAAGGAAACATTTTTTTACATTTAGATGAAGGAGGCAATGTGCAAGAAATATTTACAGATTTCTGAGGCAGCATGTGATGGTTTTATAATTATTTTTAATATTATGTTTCCAATGAACCATCACCTCTTCTTTTAATCAGCTAACACCCGCTTTTAGAGTGGTTCTAAAAAACAGTTATAAAAAATTTAACCTGTTAGACCATATATTAACTGGGGGGGGGGGGGGGGGGGGGGGGGGATTATGAATGCTTTATGTAGTGATTTCCATTACAATAAAGCACTTCTACAGCACCTCTCTATACAAAAATACACTCCACAAGCTTCCCATTCAATTGAAGAAATTCTTAGAAAATAGTACTTAACTAATAAAGTGCTGACACCAGAAATTCTGGTTTTGTGTATTATAGAGAAAAATATCTGTATAACATAATATTGTCACTTTCTATATTAAACTATTAATTTCTGAAACTGATTATACACAACATAAGCCATAGGAAACAACATGGGGGGGAAAGACTTTTTTTTTTACTTTTATCAATGGAAAATAACCAGGAAAAATAAAAACAGACACTATAAAATGAGAGGAGGACCATAATACAGTAAGGGCAAAGAACTTGTGCTTCAATTTGTAGATTCATTCAAAGAGTTTGCAGCACAACATACATATTAAAATACTGTCCTACTTCATAAACACTCCTACATCTCAACTTCCTAAGAGATAAAATTTATATTAAGAAATTAGCAAAAGCAGTAAATCATATTTACATTTGTCTACTTTACAACACTTGACTTTCAGAACATGGACTTCTATATCTGAACTATACTCCTTCAATTAACTGATAACATCATAGGCATAAATCATTTTAGTGTAAATAACATAATGAAACACCAAGTATGCACATCAACTTGGCATGGACTCTTAGAATACACCTCTCAGAGTGCTCTTCAAACAAAATTCAATTAAGCTAAAATATTTTTAAAGCCTTTACAAGACAAACTCCATTTGCATGTCTCTTTTTTGCCTTTGTTTCATTGGATATCAGAGAAACACAAGAATGATCCCTTATCAAGAGGTTTAATCTATAATAATGAGACTTGTTTAGTACTCAACACTTAACATACTAGGAAGAAAGGAAGAAGAAAGACTTTTCCAAGATGAATCTTATAGTTTTTACTTCACCTTTAGTAAGCAGTTTCTTAAAACACATCAGGAAGTGGGGGGTTTGTTTGTTTGCTTTAATAAAATGAATTAAGCAAAATATTTGCACTTGGATTAACCAAAAAATAAAATAAAAATCAGAAATTAGCTCAAGTAACAAGAAAACAAGCTTTATTTTTCCCACAAATACAAGTTAATCCAAGAATAAACGTTAGTCTCAGTATCTAAGACACAACTATTTGCCTTCTCTTCCTGTCAATTTGTGGACGTGTTTTCACATTAGGGGATATATGCCCAAGCTAGATGTAATAATAGATCAGGCGCAGTGCCACATAGCATGGACAGCCATCCATCCACATCACAGCCAGCTCACATATGTCTGGTTCAGAGTACAAACATAGGAGAGACTTTTTCACAAGCTTGTCTGTACAAATATTTTTTCGTCTATGTAGAAAATTCTTCCAAATGTAGCTCTTGATTGTTCCTGCACTTATTCTGCCAAGGGTGGGGGGAAAAAAACAGCAGCCTGAGAACTAGAGATAACTGGCTTATTTTCCTGCTCCTTCTTACCCTATCTTCACTAACCAATTTCTGTTGATGACTAGAATAAGTAAACTTCCTGTTTCCTCGTCTTCTACTGGGCACGTCCAACAAATCTGTCGCTCTTGAATTTCTTAGGATTTATTCCGCAGAAGTTACAGAAACTTACAAAAATTGTAAACTGGAGAAAAAACCCACTTAAAGGTTTTTTCAGTAACAAAAAAAACCCTAGAGATTTTCTTAACAAAGAAAATAAGCCCAAAGTACACATCATTACACTAAGGTTTTTGTTATCTCCATGTTTGGCACTTGGATCACTAGAAACAGATGAAAACATCAAATTTTACTAGAACATGAACACTTATCCTGGAGGTCCTACTGTGTATTTATCAGCATTAAAACTGTTTCAAAAGCAAACTGAGGGGAAAGGGCAAGGAGGGAAGACAGCAACAATGCTTATGCACCAGCTAAAACACAACATACATTAAGAACATACATAACAAGTTTATTCAGGAAAATACTGTTATCTTATAGCAATAGTCTCACTGATGATACATTTATACATAGTGATTCCTGGTAAATAGCAAGTGCTGTTGCGACATTCAATTGTATTTTATAAATTACTTTTGAAGTTAAAAGTTCACCAGTCATAGTTTGAAAGAAAAAACAAAAACAAAACAAGTTTTCTACTTTAACAGATAATACAAAGAAGCAGTGTTTACTCCTTTGTATTCTGTTGATAGAATCAGCATTACCTATACTTTGAAAGTTAAGAATTTAAATTTTTTACCTTACAAAAGAACTTGCAAGGAGTCCAGCAAGCCCTACTGCAGCTCCAACAACAGCAACTTTTCGACAACCAAATAGGTCTGTGAATATGCTGACTATTGGAGAACAGAAGAAGACCATCCCCATAGAGAGAGAGCTCACCCATGCTGCAAAATTTAAAAACAAAAATACAAAAAACAACAGCATTTTAGAAGACCAAGGGATTTCAGCTTTCAACTAGTATTTGTTTTCATCTGAGGTTTTATGTTGCTGAACTAAAGCAGAGTAGCAACTGGGTAACTATTTTAAAAACATTTAAATGCATTTTAAAATATATTTACTTAACACGGTAAAACAAACCTAACAATTTACATAATCAACAAATTTAGATTTTATCAGCTCAAAGAATGTATTTAACTTTTATGTAGCTATTATTTTTAGTTTTTTTTTTTTTTTTAAACACAGATTCCTCTAGTAATAGTCAATCTAATGGTAAGTCATTAAAAATACTTTTGAGGCTTCATATCCATTCTGACTTCAATTCAGTTGATTTAATTCTAGACTTTATTGACTTTAAATAGGTAGGTTTGTTGAAAAAAAATAATTTCTAAATTAATTACTAGTTCTAGATCATAGTGAACATCAATAATGAGTAAACAAGAACAGACTTTTATACTGTAATATAAATATTAGGAATTTGAGTTTACTTAATACCAAACAAACTTGTGTAATAAAACCATTTCCATATATTATGGGACAATGTCACCACTTCTCCAGCTTTACAGATCTTGTTAAAACTGTACTTGGTTATAAATGAGTTTTTAGATCATTAAGATTCAATTCAGATAAGTCCACTATGGTTTCAGCTAGCAGTGTTTTTTACTTCAAGTGTACCCAACATAGCTTAGGTAGAACAGAATTTGTTTAATTTCTAATTAAAAGTCAGGTTTCTGCTTCACTTTATATGGCTGTTCAGGACCACATCACTTATCACTTATAATCTTAACAACTCTTTGGAACAGGCATTACTGATCTTACACTTAACAGTTCTCCCAGGACATAGAGGTAAATCAGGCTGCCATAGCAGAATAATTACAACTAATATATTTGGCATATATGGTACCCCATATTGCAAATATCTCAATCTGTTTAGGGGAAAAAAAATTATCAGAAAAAAAAGTAGAAAAATCTGCTGATGCAAGGTACATTGGGGAAAAAAAACACTTTAGCTTCTTTTCTAATTGTACAGAAAACATAAGAACTCTTTCAACCTGGAATTGATATAAATCCGTGTAACTGGAATTTTGCTTACACCGTCTTTCCTAAAGACACAGTTAGATAAACAATTGTGATTCAATGATAAGGGTAAATAAAACTATCTGGAAAAACATATATAACCCCAAGACCTGATAAAGAATATTTGCAAGTATATCTACCAATACCATGACTTAGAAGATGTGTTGTTGCCAGTGATGGACACATTGATGAAGACCCCATTGTGCAAAGCACTAAAGACAGAAAAACAAACCAGCAAACAAAAAATTTACTTTTTTCCAAGAGTTTACAATGTAAAGGAAAGACAAGAGAACAGATGGCTAGAGAAAACAAGAAATTAGTACAAGAAACAAAACCTTTATTTTAGGGCAAACAGTGATCTCAGTGAACCATGACATAATTGTTTGGGGTAGGAGAATGGTGGTGTTGGGCATGTTTTTTGAGCATGTGATAAATATAAGTGTTTCAAGGCACAGTCTGATGAGCGAGGTACTTTCATGGGCATTTCCTGTGTTTCCTGGGTAGGATAACCCATATATAATAGCCCTGCCAGTCTTGCACCTCTACATCAAGAACTCAAGCAGTATGAAGGGAGAGCACAGAGGAACAAGGCCCTGTGACACTGACTGAAAGACTAAGACTGAATTTATGAAGGGGCTGTTTTTTCTCTTCCTCTGCCATCAAGGAAGGCTCAAATGCAGCTTGAGTGTCGCACATGACTTGGAGCTCTGTCCCATTTTACAGCCTATGTGGTTACTGATGGTACAAGACAACATTATACCAACTACAACTCGTAAGCAGGAGTCAGAAGGAACAGATGCTCTCACATAGCCTGGAGACCAGCCAGTTACAAAGCCCCTAAGAAGTCTGACTTCTACAAGACTCCTCATCTTTTTACTTATCTTTCCCAGAGTGAGCTTGTACAAAGGAAACTGCAAACACTAGGAATGTCCCTGTCTTCTTGTCATGCTCCCAAACAAATGGCAGCTACAACACCATGAACAGTCCTCAGCATCTCTGCGTGATCAGCAGGGCAGCACTAAGAAGCAAAGTACCTGTGACACCTGGGAGTACCTGCAAGGCCAAGAGAAAAGGCAGCAAAATTTCGAGAAGTGGGCATCACAAGACTCACTGTCAACAGTGGTTTCATGTGGTATGAAGGTACCATGAAATGGCTGAACTTCCTGACACCCTCCCTGCCTAGGTACAAGAAGATACAAAGACAACTGGCACTAGACAAGCCCACCAGAGATCACTTTCTTTTGAGAATCCAATTGCACATGGACAGGTATATGCACTCTATTCATGAAGACAGGCAAAGAAAGCGGGCATCTGAAACGATGTGTAAGTAGCTTGCATGAAGTAACAGACTAAATTGCTTCAGAGCTATAGGCTGTGATTTAATTAGCATTGAAATCAAGTTTACAATGTTTTTAATGGTTTATACAGCTAATGAAATAATTGGAATATAAGAGCTTGAAGCGAAGACATTCAGCTCAAGTTACACTGAGTTAACAATGTGCTGATTTTGTCTCTTCACATTTCCAGGTACTAATGAAAGAAGCAAGCCTTTCTTATCCCTTGATTCTCTTTTTTCTTTTTTGTTACAACAATGACAGGGCAAAACATATAAGAGAAGAAAGGTTTCCCCTGGTTTTCAACACAACAGACAGTTAACAGGAAGGACAAAGGCCCTATCTGAAGCATTTTAGAACAGACTAGTGAAGTGCAAAGAAGTCCCACTAAAGAAATGGGAGCCCATACTATACCACTTATCTACCTAATGAAAATTGGAGACATTGAATTACAATGTCAAGATAATGCCAGGCTTTTGTGGTCTGTAGAAACACATAGGCAAACAAACAATAACATATTGTTGGTGTGTCTTGTATGAACATCTTTATTATTTATTGGATAGAATGTTCCTGAAGTTAGACTTCACATGTATCCATAGTTCAAGAAAATGTACTGTATTCATCCTTTATGAAGAAACCTAGCGTCAAAAATAGCTAAGATATAAACAGAACAGCACATGCATAAATCTTTAATTTCCTTAAGGCTCCTGCTGCACTATCCTCATCCTCTGAAGAAACTGATGGCTATAAAATACATTCAATAGATCAAGTAACTTTCAATTTTGCTTTATAAGAATGCTGGAAAACTTACTTGAACACTTTCTCATGCAGTATGAAAGAAGTACAATGAGTTGTCTTCCACATTTTTTTAAATAGAAATTACAACTGTCCCAAATAATATACAAAATTACAAATGCAGCTGGACAGAACACGGAAAGCTCTCTAGAGCAGTTATTACATAATAATTAAAGCATTTCTCCTCCAGGCTATTGGCTGCTTTCCTGGCCACAAACTGGCTACATGCAAGAGCTGCTAGTTCAGATACTAATACAGCACTTAATTGCTACATATAACTGCATTCATATTCATACACAAAACATTTTGATTGCCATGAAAGAAAAGCTATTCCTACTTTAAGGACTTAAACACTCCTTGAGGTATTAGAAGCTAAGAATTAGCTCCTCAAATCACATAATTCTTTGCAGAATAAACAATTCCCAGGCTTCCCTAGAAGACAGAAGTTATACTTAAGACAAAAATATGAGACCAGAACATATTTGTAGCATCTGTGCCACTGAAACACATAATAGATTACAAAAACTGTATTATAACTACAACTATTAAAAGACGAAAATTACTTGTTCTTTCCTGATCAATTCAATAACAACCTAAATATGTGTTCTCATATTTCTTTAATCATTTCTCTATTCAAGAATCTAGCAATGAAACCATGCCACATACGCAAAAAATATGCTGCTGTTTTTACCATGAGTTTTTAAAAACTACAAATTTTAAATAATATCTTTACTATAAATGTAGTATTTAATATCTGAGCACTCACAAAATCATTCCCATTGTCACAGCTAGATCATGCAATATGTGTTTTCAATTTGGTAGATAAACCAAGCTATTAAATGTTTTTGTCCATTCTTTAGAGTCAAGTAATATGACTTACAGGACAACAGAAAACATTAATACCATATTCCATTGGAATGCTTTATCATGCATAAATTTAAATATAGGCTACTCATCCGTAGCATTCCTCTTTACAATTAATATTTACTATGCATTACAATAAGGATCTCATCAGTTTTATCCTCACAAGTGTCTTTCAAGCGGTTGGTTCAACACTGTAGAGTAACACCCTTCACTCTTTAATGAACTTTAAGAATTTTTTTAATATCTTTCCCCAAGATTGTTCTGGTTGAGAAATGGAACAAAATGTCTGGAAGACAAATGATATGAGGCAAGTGATATAAAGGCACTTAGTAACTTCTGAAAGCTCAACTTGAATAATATTTAGCAGAGACTTCCTTATATTGTTATAAAAATACTTGGAAGAAAAGAGAAGGACAATATTTACAGTATTATTCATGCTTTCATTAAGTTATTAGTTACTGTTCATGCAAGAATAAGGAAGCATGTATGTACTCTCCCAGTCTCAAACTGTTAACAGCTGAGAGACTTCTTAAGCCAGGATTTTAGGTTTTTTGTTGGTTTGGTGTTTGGGTTTTTTTCCTTAGACACCAAAAAAAAAAAAAAAAAAAAGTCCAAATTTTTTTATTTATCAATATTCTGGCAATTTCTCCTCCATGAACATCCTCTCCTAGAACAGTCATGTGTTTTCAGCATCCACATCATCTTACAGCAAACAACTCCATGACTCAACTATGGCATGGGTGAAGGACCCCCACTTCTGTTATGGCCAGTTACATACAAGGATATTCTCTTCAGTACAGCAAAAGATTGGCCTCCATAAGATGATCTGTTATCAGTATAGTTGGAGAATTTGAGAGATCCTGTTGCAGAGGAAA